TCGGAGTTTGAATTTCTTCATTCTCGTTGTTGCCCAAAGCTTTATTCAGGCGGCCGACTTGGCCGTGCAGAAAAGAGGAGTTAGACAAGAGACACGTGGTTTACGACGAGTCCCCAGAATGACAAACGGCTCGGTAAAACCAGCTTGACTCGCCTTGGCTTGACTTCTGCCGACTCGCCGATGATGCCAGATGCACACACAACACTCACGACGCAAGATTTCGTTTCATTTTAAGTGCAAGATCCAGGCTTTCAATGTCGCTACCAAGCATGCACGGTCATGTAGTGTTAGCATCGTTCAGGGCAACATGCTCATGCTCATAGCTTCAGCTTCACTTGCGCATGAAGTAAATGAAACCATAGCCCCTGTATCCACTCTAATTCTCCAAGTCAGTAGTAGGCTGAAATTTATCCATCACTACAAGAAGTTGGGAATGATGCTGAGAAGTCTGGGAGGGTCGTCGCATGTACGGAATTGACTGATCGACGTGCCGTTCCCTGCAAGATGATGTCCTGGGTTGGGCGAGGTTCGAGCATGTTGGATGCTATCAGGAACACGTGGTTACACAGGATCCGTGGGGACACGGCGGTCCCATTGACTGTGGCCATATGTGCCTGGGGCGTCACTGCTTCCCGAGTGCTAGCCAGTGCCAACCTCTGGAAGATGGTCACGAAATTGCCTCAGCATCCCAACATTGAGATACTGGAACTGGTAGCAGTGGTCTAGGAGAGCCAGAGGAATCACTGTAGTTGGATAGAAACGTTGCAACAGATGCATCAGTCCTCTAGGCATAAAATATCTTACACCTTAGACATATTATTCTCAAAATTGTAGATTCAATGGGCAAGCAGAGCAGTCAAAATTTCACCACACAGCTAGCTTGGAACATTTCTTGGGAACTTCACAGAATGGCAAACAGTCTATAGCTTCTAAACATAGTATTTACAGTGCTAGAAGCTGGCACTCTTGTCTCGTATTTAGAAACAGTTATTCAGTCATTTTCACCTCATCAAAGATGCACAATTGGGAAGATGATCAATCCAGTTGTTTTATTCACATTAAAACGAGTTAACGAATAACTTTAGAATGCTGACAGGAGCTATATCAGTTAATTTTTTAGTGACATTCAGTAAAAGGAAGACAAGTGAATTTTTTTTATCTTTTTAATTTTGTGAGTTTGAAACAAGATTGCCTCATTTTCTAAGAGCTAAAAAAACATGTAGGGATATTATTTCTACTAGTTCAAACATTTTTTCTTTTTTTTCTTGGTTTTCGCAAAAAAGGGTACTTACTATATTTATTGTGCTTTGGTAGCCGCTGGTGCTGAAACTTGATGTCCCAGGTGGCATTCCTACAGCGATTCCCTATGACCTGAGGGAGTCCTGGGGCAGTTCGGTTATCCCGTGTGTGTTTAACCGTTCAGCGGTCGCGGCGGCGCTCAAGATCTTCGGCCAGTCGCGTCGGAGGGGTGCGATCACTTGGCAGTGGTTTGCCTCACGACGAGCAAGTTGGCGATGGTTCTGTCCTCCGCAGGACAGTATAGCTTTGCAGTGCCGACTCACTTTGTCAATGGGTTGGTTAGGTGCACGCAAGTCACCTGGCGAACCAAGCACTCTATGTAACACCGACACACATTCACAAGGTGCCTGATCACGTCGCCGACATCAGCCAAACGCCTGCTTGAAGACGCAGTACGTTAGTAGGTACGGTAGCCTGTCTTCAAACCGAAGCTCGCGGAATGCGTCTACGATGAAGATGATGGACGGCCTTCTCAACAGCCGGAGACGCTCGAACCAAGATCAATCCATGCCGCCGTGATAGTGACGGCGGAAGCGCAATACGGCATCCAAGATCCCTCGCAAACGTAGAAGTGAACACGGCAGCCGAAGATCGAGCGTGAGGGACAGCCAGAGCAAGCAAGCACTACCGAAATTAACGAAAGAACTGTGCGAGCAAGCTGTCAGCTGTAGTGGCGGAGCGCAAGAGGCTCGGCTTACGGATCGGCTTATGACAACGTTAGGTTGGCTAATGGATTTCGCCCCACGCTTCGCTTTATTTTTTCGTCAGAAACTAGTGAGCGGAACTTTCTATCCCAGTTTTTTGTTATATTTTCTTGTTTCAGCAGACAAAACACACAAAAACAAGTGTTTTGCCGTGTTAAAATTGTTTATTGACGAAAACGTGTTATATGTGCACGCGACGAATTTGCGATCGTAATTGTAATAGACATCACTTAAATGTCATTTTAGTTGTCGTCTGGCAGGTCCCATCGTGAATGTCATTTGAAAACCTGAATGTCATTTGGCGTAAATGCCATTTTAGCTGCCGTCTGACAGGGGTATTAGTCCAATGCATACAAGCTTGTTCAAGGCGGACGGAGCGTTGCGCATCCGGCAAAGCGCATTCGGCCGCTGCCCGCGGCGGTTTTTTTTTTTTTTTTTTTTTTTTTTGAGCGGCGAAATAATTTTTGGTCAAGGAGCAGGCCCCCTCTTCGGCGGGTTAGGCCGGATTAACGGAGGCGTCTCCTAATCCATTCTCCGTGTTGTCCCCTCGGGGAAGGGCGGTAAACAGGGGGGGGGGGGGGTGAAGGAAGGAAAGGAGGGCAGGGGAGGAGGAAACGCAGAAAAAGTGGAAAGCGCGAACTGTACGGCGGCCTTTAAGCGGCGGATGCGGGTCATCGCTCCACACCTCAATGCGAACGACGCCCTGCTTCCCAGTATTTCTGCTGCTCTTTCCGTGTCGCTGTGCAAGTCGGATTTCGCTTCATCCTTTTTTTACGCCTGCCAGGCTGTTCTGTTGCTCCGACACTGTCCTCACAGACCAAGTCAGTATAAATAAAGGTCTTATACTATTATTTTATTTTCAATCTCAGGGTTTGAACTAATGCTGGAACTACACCGTTACTAATAACCAGCTACTCTATTCGGTTAAAACGTGAAGGTAAACTGATGCGTTTATTTTTTCTTCTAGTTTTCTTCAAGCTTTAGTCTGACATGCTTCGCCTAGGTCGAAAGATACTTAAGGTATCGCACAACATTCTTATCAATGGCGGGTATGACTAATAAATTGGGTGGGTTTGAATTTGCACTTTCACCGTTGCGGTAATTGTATTTTTACGATGGAAACAATGTTGCTATGTCCAAACCTTTTAAAACACCAACTATGTCTTTATACGAGTCGGAGTTGCTTGCAACTGAAGCAGAAGCAATGCCATCTGGCTGAAGGGAGGTGAAGGAGAGAAGCCGGAACATATACCATGTATCCAGGGGCGATTATGAGATGCTCGGGACGTGGCACTCCCCTCGCTTCTTCAGCTGCTTTTCGCGTTTGCTTCATGCGCAGGGGTTGCGGTAACGTCAGAACGCCAAGCTCTGTTTGGCGCCGATTGGAAAGACAGTGGGTAGACATCGATTAGGGACGCCCTGAGGTGCACGCACTGTCCTTCCAATCAGACACTATCAGAGCTCGGCGTTGTGACGTCAACGCAACCCCCTGCGCAAGAGGCGAACGACCTTGCCCTCCGCATAGCATAAACCTTTCCACGATCACCTCCTGCCCCCTGCCATCTCTGCTAGCTGGCCCGTGGAACGCCTCGTGAGCATGGGCTGTTTCCCTTCTCTGCGGTATATCCGGCGCCGCTAGTTCTTTTACAGCTCTTTCACTCAGCATTTTTTGCCAGGGTTATAAGCGTTGAAAAGGACCATACTTTTAGTATCTGAAGTTTCCTTAATATTTTGGTGCGCTCCATATTTTGGCGGTACGGTCCACTCTTCGACGTAGTACGGTAACGAATGTGTGCACACCAGAGGTGTGTACAAGGTGATATCTTGGGGGTTTACATACTTTATTGTAGAAAAGCCGTGAAAGCAACACAAGTGTGGTCGGTGTAAGTGAGCTATACGGAAAGGAGGACACGATAAAGGGCAAAATTTGCCGCGTAAGTTGGTTAATTAACTAAAAGTTGTTGATTAACTTTTGTTTTTTACTTTTTGGAGGCGGAAATATGGTTCTAATCTGACATTTAATTCGCGTCATTGAAAGCCACTAAATTACTACACTTTTGATAGATTTGGGCGTGTGGAAAGCGCGGTGGTGGGCTAAAGTTATCACTCGTCCAACAGGCACAGGGCTAGTGGTCTGGCAACGCGTCCCCGCGGGTGTTCCGTCTCTTATCATGCACGTTTTTAGACAGCCTTTATTGCACCTGTTTCGTGAAGAGAAATATTAAGGTGTTTTAGCAGACCTTTACTCTGTTCCACGCAGCTCACTACTGAAGCCTTTGAAGCATGCTTTTCAGCGCGCGCTCGGAGGATACAGCGACCGCTGGAAGCGTGCTTAAAAGCATGCTTCAAAGGCTCCACTGCATTCCGTTTCTCTTTAAGTGTCAGCGTAGTACAAGCTTCAAGAGCGAGGTCCCTGCTTTACGCGTCCCTGTCAAGCACGCGCGCTCGTGCATTGCAAGCACTGCTCAGGGCCACATGCGCGAGCTTGTAGAATCGCCTGTGTCTGGACTTAAGCTTAAATGATGCATAGTGTGGTACGAGCAACACGGTTTGTTAAAGCACCCTATTTGCGCACAACCGTGCTTTCCACGCGTCCAAAATGTTTATCAAAATTTAGTTACTTATGTGTTTTTGATGACACTCCAGCAAGTTTCCCATGGAAGTTATATGTTTATTATCAGTAATTAAAAAAGGGTACTTAAAAAGTTTAGTTAACTATTTGGCTTGTCTTGACAATTAGCCCCTATATTACGGCCCCGCGGCCGTAAACGTCACCTGCACAAACTGTATTATAGTCTAGCTATCACGGCTGTTTTTTAAACATATATCTATAAAGCCGAAAAAGCCCGTATGTTAATTATACTTTAAATGAAGTAGAAATATTGTTTCAGTATACCTCTCTAAATGCGTTTCATAGAAGTACAAATTTAGTATAACTTAAGCGTTTTACTTTTTACCAACGGGAATGCGGGTGTACACACACATGCAAATGAACAAATGCCCTTTGTTGTCTCTCAATCCCTCCCCTCTCCCCTCCCCGAAGTGCCCAAGGCTCGGATCGTGGGAGGTCCGGATCTGCACGTGGAAGCCGGATCCGCACTGAACCTGACGTGCAGCATCAGCGAAAGCCCAGAGGCCCCGGCGTTCGTCTTCTGGTACCACCAGGGCCGCCTGGTGAACTTCGAGCGCGGCGGCCGCGTCGTGGTCGCCAAGGGCCGCAACGGCTCGGCCGTGTCCAGGCTCCTGCTGCCGGCCGTCCAGGCCGCGGACTCCGGCAACTACACGTGCAACCCGGCCAACGCCAACGCCACCTGGGTGCTGGTGCACGTCCTGGAGAGCCATCGGCGACTAGCGGCAGTCCAAAACGACGCCGGGGGCATGGCCCTCACCTCGGACGTGGGCCCTGCCGGGAGCTCCTGGAGGGCGCTGTTCGCCTGCACGCTGGTGTCTCTGACGGCGTCGTGTCGGATGTCGGCGCCGCCGCACAGGTGACGGCGCTGAGGTCGCCGCCACACCTTGGCCCCTTGTGTCCTGTGAGCATATATTTGATTGTAGTAGGTAGCCTTCTTCCATCTTGCCCGTAATGACGGGCAAGATGGAAGCAAACAATTTGCAATATGTTTTGAATCATGAATGCATGATTCAAAACAAATTGCAAATTGGTGTGGAATTCCGTGATATATTTGCAATGAAATCTCATGGAAGCATTAAGTTGCAGTCACACATCATATATTAAACAAACCACAGGCTGTCCGCTGCAGGCCTGGTGACAGGAATTTCTGAGGACATGCCTGAAGCAGATTCGAATTAAGCGGGTTGGCTTCATACATCCATGCGTGCTTCGAAAATGTCTGCACACAGTGTTTGTATGACCAGTGTGACAGTAGCGTCATATAAAAAAACAAAAACACCTAAGACAGTACGAACAGACTGTCCTTTGATGTAATCCCAGTGTGTCCGCGGCTTTAGGGGGCAGCCAGCGTTTCACTAAAAATACACTAAACCAAACAAAAAGGTTTCTGTAAAGCCCATGGATAGAGCACGTTATGAAAAAAATATTTCACTGACCATAAACAACAGCAACAACAATTGTTTTAAGTAGTGTTCAGGTTGCGAGACTCATTTCGAGTATCGCGAAGCACAGGGAGTTCCCGAGAAAAGAAAACCTCGTCTTTCAGTCTGGGTAAATAAAGTATATATCGTAAAAAAAAGATCAAACTACTCCAACAATGTGACGCTAGCGGTTGGGATAGAACGCACAAGTTCGGCAACCAGATATCACCTGGAATAAAAGATAATTAGGTAAAACTAAATTTTTTTACGCGCGGACGTCCACCTATGTCTAATATTGTCAAAACGAAAAATGCCACTGTGGGCGCCTCAACATCTATTTCAGTGAAAACAACTTGAGAGCAAGGAACAAAACAATATCCTCTTTCTTAGGACAAGTGATTTTCCACTGATATTAATCTCAAGCGTCGACGATGTCGAGTTCTGTTTTGGCAATATTAGGCTTAGGTGGACGTCGGCTCATAGATGGACATTTAGTTTTTCCCAATCATCTTTCTTTCTTTATTTAGGTAACGTCATGTTCTCCAATTTTCGCGTTCTACCGAGCAGCTAGAGTCTAATTGACACGGTGTTTGAGTTTCGTGCGATGCAGGGTTTATTTACTCGGGCAGATAAACACGGTTCTCGTTTCTCAGGAACTTCCTGAACTTCTACCGTGTACACCTATTTCAGAACGACGTGCCAAAATAGAAGGACATTTCGAAATCGCTCCTGATTCCAAATTAGTTTCCCAAAACAAATATTGCGCAATTTTTTTTTCTTTTTTGCACAAGGGGGAGTATTTTGTGGCATGCGTCTGCAATTCAGAAACTTAAAAATCTATGTTTTGTGAAATTCCGCGTCTGTAAGAGCGATTCCGAAAGGTGCTTGCATTTTGGTTCCAAGTGCAGAAATATGAGAATCGTTCTTGACTCAAAATATGTCTTGCAACTCAAACACTGTCTGAAAATAAATATTTTTTGGGGGAAAAGTTTCTTTTGTGACATATGTGTTTGTAAAAACACTTGAAAAAGAAGCTTTTTTTAAAATATTAGTGCCTCTTTAAGAGGCTTAGGTTCGGCGGTGCTGGGCACGCTAAATATTTTTACCAAAACCTAATTTACTTGCAGGTGTGTACGGTCGAGTCCGGCCCCTTCGGAAATGCATTTAAACTGTAAAGCTACAGTCGCAGGATTCAAACCTGGGTTCAACTCGGGTCTATTGATGTTTCACACTGGTGCTAAAAGCTGAGCGCCGAAAACTACTCTGTTGCTTGTGTGAATGTAGATATTCCAACGGAGATCTCGAGATTTGTAAACAAAAACGAATATGTTCAGCGGGCACTGAGCACTTGAACAATTCAAAACGATATCAACGAATGTACATCCGCCCCCAAAAAACCTAAAGTCTCTAATAGAACTACAACCATACCCATGCCGCCCTGCACTATACCAAAAACATAAGGTCATAATAAGCGTATTTCGTGACCACTCTGTATATAATCACATGTACTAATCTGAGATTCTTTTGTCAGCCCGGATAAAAAAAAGTGTGTCTACTTTTCAGCGACAGTCTGACTGTCATCCTATTCCGAACTCGTTCTGGTACAGTAAATGGAGTAGGTTGTGTACCAAGCGTAAACATTGACGCCGAGTTTTTGTCGACGCAGGTAAATAACAAAATGCACAGCTGGCAGCTATCTCCGGAACACTTGGAGCGGCCGGCACGGTCAGTGTTTTCCCCCTAGCGCTTGATATCTTTCCTGTCATCAAACCTAGTTAAACTTTACTTCCGTCTTCTTGTTTTAATTTTGTTGTACTCGTTGTCTGAACGTGATGCTTCGGCAGCGGTCACGCTTTGATGCCTGGAACGTGAGTGCGGCTGGTGTGTTAACCTCGGCTCTATTTTGTTCGCCCAATTTCCCAACGTGGGACGTGACATTATTAATACTCTGAAACGCCACGATCCCGGCGGTTGCTCAGCACAAATTGCAGATAGGACAGACCCTTGTTCTACTGTGCCTTTTTCTGCAGCCGACCAGCCCACGCAAACTTAATCGTCTTAGAGTTGGCATGCCGCGACGACAGAGGCTTCACAGCAACCGCTTCGACCACCAACCGCCAGGATTGTGACATTCTGTAACCGTTCCCAAACGCTCTATTTATATATATATATATATATATATATATATTTTTTTTAATTTTGCGACTGTAGTAAATGAACACTATGGTTTTCAATACAAGAAAGTTAACGACGCTTTTCAGGCACCGTACTCCTAACAAGCGTACGCAACTTCATGAAATCGTTAGATTATTTGTAGTGTCTACTTTGTATTGTTTGCTTTAAGTACCTTGTCATCCATTATACTTGTTTATATAAAAGCTTGTATAATTCGATTTAATCCTACATTCGCGATTCATTAAAAAACGTTATATAAAAGTTATTGCTTAGCTCGAAACTCTTCCCAATAATTATTGTGGAGCACACAGTTAAGTGCTATAAAAACCCAAATACATAAATTCCCACGCAGACGTGTGCTTTATTGTGCAGGCACGAACTGCCCTGACCAATATGCTTATATCTGGCTGCAGTTGAAATCTTACTCAGATGCTTTTTGACCCACGCAGATGAACTGGTATGGAAAAGCCCCGCTTGACCACGCCTGCCAGTCATTCTTCACTGTAGCCATGGAACAAGGCTCCTGGTTGCACTTGCTGGAGTTCTACTTAAGGTTCGCTGTAGGTCAGGGAGTGTTCCAGACATGCACAGGCTATGCGGGTTATCGATAAGAGCTTGTGGTTTCGGCAAAGTCTCCTGGACCTTGTGGTGTGTCTCTGGCTCCTCCGGCCATCAAGAACTATACAGAATACCGTAAAATCTGACATGCCATGTAATATTTATATATATATTGTACGATACAGTGTCTTGAGGACACAGTGAAGCTCTGAAGGACTGTACAGGCCTCGAGGTAACAACAATCTTTGAAAATCACACACGCCTACCGAAGACCCCTTGAGTCAAGTCTACTGGCCTCAGCACACCCTGGTGGACAGAATGTTTCTTCGGGGACAAGATGTCCTGTGTGTTAAATGATTGATATCATTATCTGCTGGTCACAATGCTGTGCACCAAGAGTTTGAGTCCACTCTGGTCAACATTTTATTATAGGTTAACTCAATTTGCCGAGATCATCGATGTAAATGAGTCTAGTCGTAGCGTCATCTGTGTTTGAAGTGAACAAAAAGTAAATGTACTGGCGCTGGCACGAAACGCTGACAAAAGAATTTCAGATATGCGCTTGAGGCAGTGAGCGGTCTCTCCACACTGTGTGATTCTTGGTATCTGATGAAGAATGTGTTCACACGGGAAAGAATGCGGTATATTTGTGAACCGTTTTATTTTGGTATATCATAATAGTAGGACCTAATTCGATAGTCCCTATTTTTTTTAAATATCAAGAAAGATGTCAAAAAGTGTTTCACTCAATAAGACAAATGTTCCCTCTTTTCTTTTTTATTCGGAACTGCGAAAAAATTGCTAAGCTAACATTGTAACTCGACACAGATTATAAAATAAATTTCAACTAAAAATTTCAACATAGCTTCACATGTACTCTCGGTGATGCTAAACAGCACATTCCGGTTCTTAAAGGTGTGAGTCCGACGTGCGTTAAAAACACTGTTCCAAAATGTAACATAATGATTTATAAGAAAACTCGGCGGAGGTTCCACTACGCCCAACTAAACAAAACAGCACAGGCAAGAAACCAAGTCGACAAAAAAATTCGTCGCCTCCACATCAGTATATTAAACTTCATGTTTAGTCTTTTGTTCCTCCAAGCACGGTGTAGCGAACATCAAACCTTGTGGCTATGTGTGTTGTCTTTTCATCGCAGCGTGAATACTGTTTCGCCTCCAAGAAACGACATGTGTTTACGGTGTTTTGCATGGGTAGTTTCTTCGAGAAGTTTGATATGTTGATCAAGTGTCACAAATAAAATATTTTTTCTGTATATTTGTAAATATGTGAAAAAATACTGTTTCCGAACTGATTTATCGCCTCCTTCTTGTGTTCGTCAGCCACGGTTATTTCTATGGGACGTTTCTAGAAGTGTACAAGGAATCTGGTATGCCTGCCACCGGAAGTTTTCAATATTCCAACGTTCAATCCAGCAGTCCAATATGATGGCTTAAATATAGATGTACTGTGCGTACAACTGTTAAAATTAACACTCGAGTAGCACCAGAAGAAACCAGTTGCGGCACCTGCTGGCCTTTGGTGGCAGTGTCAGGTGCTGTTCCTTTCGGCTGCTCCACCTTCACGTGAAATTTCCTTGGTGGATTCAGAGCGATCGAGGAGCACTTAATGCTCGCACTTTTAGTGCAATAGATGCGAGCGCGCGCTTGCACGCCCAAGAAAGTAGAAAAAAAAAGCATTCCAAAACTACTCCAAATTTCCATCAGTTTCACCGATAGACAGTTTCGACCAGTGCTGCGGTCGCTGTTCATGCTTTACTTTTAACAGTTGCGCGCATTGTGCACACTTCTCACAAGTGTCTTGCAGTATTTGGGCGCATTGTGCACACTTCAAGGTTTTCCTTCATACTGGTTTAAATAACTTCTGTCCAGGCTCATTTGTAGCAAGCTGAAGCTCTTCCCTCATTAACAAGTCCTGGGGTTTGGTGTTTTCAAATGGGAGCATTCACTTCACAAAGTGGCTTCATTCGCTTAATTACCCCCACAATGGATATAGAGAAATGACATATAGAAGAGTGTAAGTTGGACGAAGTTAACTGTGTTCAAAGTTTCTTCGGGTATTTTTTTGAAACAGCAAGGTGTTTGAAATGGTAAACATTTTAAATACTGTTCACTCATTGTTAAATGTATGTTCTGCTCGCAAGAAGGAAAGCTTTCGTTTCGACTGTGAGGAAGTGTGAACGACTTCGAGGACGTGATATAAATTATACCTGAAGTGTAAAGATTCATTAGTTAGAATAATCACTATCATTACCAATAACACTCAGGTTCACTGCCCATGCTGGGTAGGTTAGGAATTAATTAGGATTTACTCCCAATAAGAAATGGCTAAACTATGACAGGTGTAGAGGCCTGTTCAAATAATTTACTACTTCTATATTTATTACGAAAAATAATTGTATTTAATACTTTAATGTCTGCATGTTTCGCTGATGTGCATGTGGGAGTGTTTGTGTATGTTGGAAAACTCTCGTAAGCTTGTCCTGCTATAGCGACAAACATCGGACAAACAGTGCTGGTAAACAACTTCGTTTTGCACTACAGTGTCATCACAGGTCACGAATGTGAATAAGCTCATAGTTGCGCGAGACCGCAATTGAAATCGCACAATTTGTGTTTTTTTTTATCTTGCATTCTGCGTACATGAACGCGACGCAGCATTTTCTTGTACTCACAAAACAAAATAGCGGCGTTTCATATTTCCACGAACAAGCCATAACCGTTTGTTCAATGCTATCTTGTATCATACGTTTAATGGCGCTGCCAACCAAAATGTTTCTTAAACGTTTTCCTTTTTTTTTGCTAGCTTGTTTGCTTGGTATCATGATACACTTGATTAGTATGCAGTTTCTGACTCCCGAGCAGACTGGTGATTTCAGTCGTCCTTTTTATGAAAAAAAAAATAACGAAAATGGCGAGTTCACCAAAGAAAGTTCATCTGATTATCCACGAGTTTCCGAAATATGTTATCGTTCTCGCATTACAAAGTCGGCTGAAAGTATGAGATAGCCATACGGGTAAACGTTACTTGCCACCGATTGTACATACGTTCGCACTCTAGCGGTGCGTGAAGTTGTCTACGGTGTCGCGTGAACCACAATAAAATTATCCTAAAAGTTGGACGAATGTACCAACGAGCGTTTGTCGTGAATCGGGAAACAGCTGACGCCACCTGGCATCAGTTTCGTGTTTCCCTTTGTTTGCCGTCGTGGCCTCCGAGATTGCCGATGTATAAAGTTCTCCGCCGGTCGTTCCGTACTACTCACCGTCTAAGAGGATCGATACCATTCTGCAGCGCTTCAACAAGTGAAGGTACATTCTTCAAAACAAGGACTCGGCACCCGATCAAGCAAGCACAAAGACGGTGCCTCTAAGCAACTCCTCTTAAGGTGCGGTCACACTACTTATACAACTTGCAAAAACAGTCTGTAGACACTGTCTTCTAATGTCGGCAGCGAACGCCGTGTCTTCTGTTGGATGTGTATAAGCCGTGCAGCCGCGGCTTTAGAGAGCGAGGTCGTATCCTGGATTTTCTGCGTCAAGTAAGGATTTGAGAGCCGGCTAGAGACTGCACACCCAGTCTTGACTCCGAGTTCGGATGGAAGGGGGGCTCCTGTTCTCACTTACTGAACACCAGTATACCGGTTGAACCCTGACGCAGCACTCGCGCTCAATCCATGCCCCCCGCGTTGGCCTCTCGTTGGTGACGTAATGATCCGGCACTACGGCCTTGTTATCATAAAAGCGTTGCCCTAGCTCGCTAAAAAAAGGGGAGCACATGACGTCATCATTCGTGGATTTCTGACCCGTCCCCCCAGTGGCGTTGTGACTGCAGCAGTCACATTCTTCATACATCATACGAAAGACACGGTGTTGGCTGCAGATATAAAGATAAAATTATCTAAGTACACAAGTCAAGCACGTCTCCAAGCAAGTTTGCTACATACCCAGAGGAATATTGCTGAACAGCTGATAGTGTGTGAGGCTCAAGCCAGCAACCCGCGGCTATGTTTTAGCACGGTTATCATTTTAGCAGGAGTAATGTTATTGGTGGAGAACTGGGTCAGTTGTTTGACGTTATACATGATGGGGAAAAGAGCTCAGAAAACACGGACTACGAAGAGGAACAAACACGAAGTGGAACAAACAAACATCATTGTCCTGTCGTATTTGTTCCTCTTCGTAGTCCATGCTTTCTGAGCTGTTTTTCCCAACATGTATAATTTTATTGGGTTATGGCCCTTCCCCGATGTATGAATCGGCCATGGAAAGCTTCGTGCACCGACAATCTCAAAGGCCATGAAACAGTCTGCACGAATAGTTGTCCGTTTTACATATGAAAGCTTGTACTGGCTTTTTTGCTGTTTTTTTTTTTCCTGAGGAAGTAAAAGGTGATTAAAACCCCAGACTAGAGGAACCGACTGTTTGTTTTGTTTCACCCCAGAAAGTCCAGTAAATAAGTTTCTGCCTTAGATTTCTATTTCTCTATCTTGTTTTCCTTCAAGCGGTAGAATGGCAAGTCCGAGAGGTCGTCCCTTCAAACGTCTAAAAAAACATCGTTAGCACAAGTTGTTTTGTTATTCGCTGCTTTAGTAGTCCCCCGCCGTTGGTATTTGGACTGCCGTTCTGGATCTGCGTGAAGTGGTCATCCTCGAGAATAACAGGTGAGTTAATGCTTTCGGCAATAATACGCTGCCTCGCGAAGGGGATATTTTCTTTTTCTATTTTCTAGCTCCAACAATCTCGAAATAAACTCACATGAAGTAATTCATGGGAGTTTGCTATAGGCCGCCCTCCCCCCCCCCCTCCCCCCCCCCCCCATGCTCATTACTTTCATTAAACCTTTGCAGGACTCCATAAATCTGGTCGTCATTTGCTTTCCCAGTTCGTCAATATTTATGTTGGGAGATTTTAATTATCCTGATATTGTGTGGACAGGTAATGCCCCAACAACAGGCACTCTCTCATCTGCCTCATCCGAATGCAAGGATTTTGTCAGCCTCTGTTTAGATTTTTGTTTCACGCAATTAGTTACTCGACCAACCAGAGTGACTCCATTGACGGCAAACGTATTGGATCTTGTTCTCGCAGCTCATCCTGAACTCGTTTACCCCATCTCCTATCTTCCAGGGCTTAGTGATCATTCCATTTTGCATTTCAATGTAAAAGCAGCAGTACCAAAACCATAAACTAATGTAAAGAAAATTTGAGATTACGCCAAAGTTGGCTTTAATAAAATTAATCTTGACCTTGCAATTTTCCTCGATGGATATTTATCACTCTTCTCGAGTCGTTCAGTAGAAGAAAACTGGAACCTTCTCAAAACCTATGTTAATAAACTAACAGATCAGTACATTGCCTTAAGGGCAGTTATCGAAAACTCTCAGCCACCCTGGTTCACCAGAGCCCTAAAACGCTTATCAAACAAATAAAAAAGCGTCTATTTCGCGCCGCAAAAATTATCTAAGTGCGAGCACCGTCGGTTACGTTATCGTACTGCTGCTGAAGTGTACAAAAAAGCCATTGATAACGCCAAACTAGAATTCGTGACACATAGCCTACCCGCAATGTTGATCCACAATCCTAAACAGTTCTGGAATATCTTAAACAAAAGACGCAGTCATCTATCAGAGTGGTTCTCAACCATCGATGCTTCGCGGACCCCTTGTAGATCGGCGGAGATGATGGAGGACCCGGTTCGTGGTGAGAGAAAAGGAAAGGTGTACGTTAAATATAATAATGACTTAATAAATGGATATAACTAAGGGCTAGTGTGAAGTAAACCTCTCTTATTGACATACACACGAGAAAACTTGCGCGAAAACTGAAACATTTCTTCTCGACCAGAAAAAAGACAACTTTTATCGCCGAGCTCGACTGATGAGGCAGGGCTTCGCGGACCCCTCTAATGCCTTCGCGGACCCCAAAGGGTCCGCGGACCCCCATTTGAGAACCACTGATCTATCACAATAAAAACCGCAAATGATGATTGTATAGCCAGCGATGAGTGTTTAAATTTATTAAGGAGTACCTTTGCAGATTCATTCTCTGCTGATAACATGCACGATTTCCCTTTGCTAGAGAGTGCCGATTACTTGCCCATTGATCCTCTTTTTCTTGATTGCATTGGTGTCGCTCGTATCATAGATAAACTCAAACTGTCATCTTCAGCAGGAGTGGACGGTATTAACTCCACGTTTTTAAATAAACACTAAACAATACTTCTCAATTATTTTAACAAAATTATTTTAATAATCTATACAAGACGCTGTTCTCCCATCAGACTGGAAGGTAGGGAAGGTAGTACCTATTCACAAGGCTGGAAATAAACATTCCCCTCTTAATTATCGTTCGATATCAATAACCAGCATTCCTTGCGAACTTCTTGAACATATCATTTTTTCTCACCTCGTCAACCTCTTAGACTCTAAAAACTTCTTCAACAATGCCCAACACGGTTTTCGAAAAACATTTTCATGCGAGACCCAACTACCATCTTTCACGAATGACCTACATCACATTCTGGACCGAGGATCCCAGGCGGACTGCATTTTTCTGGATTTTGCCAAAGCATTTGACAAAGTTTCACATAATCTTCTGCTTCTAAAACGCTCCAAACTTAACATAGACAATAACGTTCTCGCATGCATACAGTCTTTTCTAACTCAACGGTCTCAATTTGTCACTATTAATAACAGTAACAAATCTTTTGTCAAAGTTGCGTCAGGGGTTCCGCAAGGGACAGTCTTAGGACCGTTGCTATTCTTAATTTATATTAACGACCTCCCCACTTATGTCTCTTCATCCTTGTCTCTGTTAGCTGACGACTGTGTACTTGACCGTGAGATTCTCGATCATAATGACACCTGTATACTCCAATCAGACATTAATGCTATTTACTGTTGCTCTGACTCATGGTCCATGAAGCTTAACACTAAAAAATGCAAGGTCATGCGTGTGTCTCGCCGGTCTCATGACTGTCGTAACTATTTCCTTAATAATGCTAATCTAGAACCTGTATCTTCGTACAAATATTTAGGCGTATATATAGCTTCTAACCTTTCATGGACAACATATATTCAGCATATTTCAGCTAACGCTAACCGCATGTTAGGTTACATCAAGCGAAATGTTTCATTAGCCCCTGTCTCACTGAAATTAACTCTTTACAAAGTTTTAATTCGTCCCAAGTTAGAATATGCAGCTTCTGTCTGGGAACCCGGACTAGTCACTCTCGTATCTACACTGGAAGCCGTTCAGAACAGATCCGCTCGTTTCATCCTCTCAAACTATCAGCGCACTGCTAGCGTCACCTCTATGAAAAAAACTCTCGCATTACTTCCTGTATCACTACGTCGTAAAATTTCTCGTCTTTCCCTATTCCATAAAATGTATCACCATAATTCTTTCCTGCGCGACAAAATAATTGCTCGGCCTGTCTATGTTTCCTCCCGTCTTCATCATCAACATAAGGTGGGCATTCCTAACTCTGTCACGACCACGTTTTATTCATCTTTCGTTCCCCGTACATCCCAGGAGTGTAACCACCTTCTCCGGTCGATTGCCGTTATCACGGACTCTGAGCTCTCCAAAAATATAATTGCTAATTACTTTATTACTGAGTGTGTCTAATATGTATTATGTTATTTGCATTAACCTTCCTGTTTCTCTCCCCCTCTCTAATGCCTTCGGGCACTGAGGGTATAATAAACGAAATGAAATGAAATCTTTCTTGCGTGACCGTGGTTTCCACGGCTCCGCAGGAAATCTTGGCGTCTTTTGTCCTCGCAATTTTTGTTGTTTTCTTTCTTCTGTCATTTTTCTACTGTCCCCGGGGAAACCACTTCATCGATCGATGTTCGACAAGTAATTGGCAGCCACTTTCCGGGTCATTCTAGGTCGCTCCATCTCGTCTCAAGGGTGCCTTATGCCAGGGTTGCTCGGCCCGGGATCCACTTTCGCCATGGCCTTCTATATACAGGGTGTTTCACGTAACAGTGGGAAAAATTCCTAAAATGTGTGTATTCGAGGTTAAAGGACAGTTTTTTCGGAACCGCGTTACTCCGGGTTACGGACGTCAGACAAAGAGCGATACTTATTCGTTAGTTCGCTAATTAATTGAAAGTGCGAATACACTTTTTAATTAGTGAAAATAGACAGATGGTTCCGAAAATAAACTTGCTGAGGGTCATCGAAAATCACTAAATCAGTAATTTTCAGAAATACTTTGAGCGATTGAAAAGCGTAGTAGAGCCCTAAAGTTACCACCCGTAGAGCGGGCACAAGGCTGGGGCTCTGATAAGAGAGGGAATAATCACTCGGGAGCCTTACCGCAACCACTAGCCTTGTACCTGCTCCACGAGTGGTAACTTAGTGCACTACTACGCTTCTCACGCGCTCAAAGTCTTTCTCAAAATTACAGATTTAGTGGTTTTCGATGACCCTGAGCAAGCTTATATTTGGAACCATCTGTCTG